CACTTTCTGAGCCTTTCCCTTAAAATTAGCAAAGAGCTCGGCCTTGTAACCTGAAATCTTATCACCCATGTGCACATGTTACTAAAACATCAACACAAAATTGAGCCTTGAATGTAACTGAATTAGGAACTAACCTCAGCTTCATAAGCTTTCATGCTTGTATCCAAAACAGAAGCATAAAACTCCTCATACCAATCTGGTCTAGGAGGGTGAACCTTCTCTAACATTGTCTACATATAAACAACACAAAAATAATAAAAATAAATAAATACATAAATACCACAAACAATCCCATACTTGTCAACAAATTTAACACAAAAATAATTAAAAAAAATAGATAGGAACTATTTGCTCTTAACATTTTACAGTATCTCAAAAAGTTGAGAGTTTAGCTTATATTGACAAAGTGGCAAATTTGAGGTGAAAGATTGCACCGTGTAATCGGAGGCGTTGGATGGGGAAAAGGGAAGAAAAGATGTGGCTGCTGCTTCAATGAAGAGCCTTCTTCTTCCGCACGTGCATGAACTGCCCAGGTGCGCCGGAGACTCGTCGGGGCTCCGGTTTGCGTTGACCCGTGATGGCGGATGATCGGACGGCGGTGAGAGTTTGGCACGTGGGGTTCTGTTGGATGAGCATCGAGCGCTGGGAGAAAGAGATGATGATGACGAACAAGAAAGGATCATTTCTTTGTGGTCGTTGTGCAGTCAAAGGATTACGTGACCCATGTTATGCACACTTTTCTTTCTTTTTCAACTTTTTATGAAAAGAAACAAAGGATAATTTACGTGATCCGTTTTGTTCTGTTTTCCTTTTAATCACAAAATATGACCAAAAATATTTTTTTAAGTCGATCGTCTCTTTTTAATTTTTTCTGCAGATGTCCAATTGAAGGAGGAAAAATTTTAAGCACGATATGAATCAACATTTTATCTTTAGCAGAAAATTTATTGTTTGTAGAATCAAAATTGGGCCAAGGATTCTCCCCAATTTAGATACTTCATTGGTAGGGCATGAATTTAACATAAAATAGTAGTAAGTGTGCAACATTAGGGCCTCACTGATCATTCAGAAACTTGAATATCACATCTTCTATGATGGATGATATAAATCACGTTATAACCAAGAACACAAAATTTGGCCAATTTTAGTTTATTTTCAGAGAAAGATCTCGACATCTTTGACTTCGGAAAAGCAAGCGCCATTCTATCAAATGCGGATTCCTTGTCTAAAAATGCACGCAATTATCCGCGACAGCTCTCTAAGCAGCTGTATTGTTATTGTTACCATCATCTACGGTGCTTTGATCCTCGGATGAAGTGTTGGTATGGCCACCCTCCACTGTAAGAAAGGCAGAATTGGTGCAAATGTTAAGCACTGTCTTTGACTAATACAAGGAGAATAAAACGGCAATGCTTTTGAAAATTGGATGTGTTTGCAACATGTATATACCTTCACACTCATCTGCAGGAGCATAAGCTGAACGCCTAACTTGCTGGTGTGGGGTTGGCTGATAGCCCGACGAAGACAAGCGAATAAAAGGGTAATTAAAACTATTCGTAACACGATCAAAGTATATATATTTTTTTAATAGCTTGACAAACAACCTAAGTACCGTGAAATACCTGCAACTTCGGACGAAGTGCTTCAGGTGGCCCTTTCGGTTTGTTTGCCCCTTGCTGTTGAACAAGTTAAAAACGAAAAGATGGACTTTTAGACAGTCAGGAATTTAAGTTTCAGATGCACAGGCAAGAGTAGAAAGCAAAGTTGCATTGAACTACAACTAATTAAGAGGAAGTTTGAAGTAAATGATGGTAATCAAAGTGAGTACCTTTCCTAGTGCCCAATCAGCAGAATCGAAATAAGCACGCTCATGGTCCTGGCAGCAAACAATATGTCTGTGTGGGTGATTCTCATTTTGAAAGAAACCAAACTAGATAAAATAATCTGAGACAGAGAGAGAGAAAAGAAAAGGAAAAATAAGAACCACAAGTACAAGCATTTACCTTTGATATCAAAGGAGGTTTCTTTAGCATTATTCCCCCATACTTTTTCTTGATTGTTTCCTCCTGCGGAAAACAGAACAGGATACATGGTGATCACTACCACATACGAGCAAGTTTTGAAGAAAACTCATTCCATCAATCATTTTGGCAATATAGGCGATAAAAAAATCCAAGCAATCAACTATTTCAATCATCAAATTTCCCCTTTTTAGATGTCATACCTATGATATCGACAAGGTATGGTGTCTAAAGTTTTTTGCAAAAATCACACAAGTTTAGCTTTCCAATAACTTTTATCATGAATCAGTTGATGTGGAAACAATCTGGCATTACATTTGGAATCTCTAATTCTATTTGTTTCGTTTGAGGATTCACTACAAAGTTCTTTGATTTCTACAAACCAAATCGAACAGGGTAATCGTATGCAAAGCAGAAACAAAATATACCTGTTGTTGAGGAGAAGGCATAGAATTGTCGTTGTTTTTATCTGAGGCAGG